TATTAAGTTCACTTGCTTGCGCGCTTACGACCGTGCAAATCTTTCGGTCGTTTTTAATCCACTTCCCGTGATCCAATCGAGCTGACATTTTGCACACAGACTCGTTGTGTGTGACAATTTATTTTTGTGAAAAAGAAAAAAATCCAAAATTTTTCACTTTTTAGGAAAAAAATTTTTCATATTTAATTTAAAATACCAATGTGATAAAAATGAAACTCTTACTCAAGAAAAACAGAAATGAATAATAAAATAAAACCGATGCCACGCATATAAAGGATTTATAGTGAAAAACTTTGTTTTTACGGGTTAATTTTTTTCCTCCACATTTAGAAACTTGCGTTGAGATTATCTCGATGACGTTGCTGCTATGAATGGCGGGAACACTTTGTCGAGTTATCGTTAGTGGCCAGGTCGCTCCTGAAAAATAAGCTAATACCTCAGTGGGCTTTTCCTGGAAGGATGGGAATGGCTTCGTTTTGTATTTGTTTGTGTTTTGATGATTTGTTTACCTTTCTTGTACGTTGCACTACTATCGTGTTATTGTACCGTTTGTTGTTGTAGCGTCATCATCAGGTGTGAAAACCACAGCAAGAAAATTTTTTAAAAAAAATTATTGCTGTGGTTTTCACACCTGGTGATGATTGCTCGTGTTGCAGTCGAAACGTCGTGAGAATTTTATTGTTTGATATTTTTATTATTTTATTGTTTCCCTTCTACGTGACTTTACTGAAAGAACCAGAATATAAATCCCTGCAGTCACGAAAGCTTTAAATCAAAATAGAACCCACTCCTAAACGGCCACCCCTCCAAAGAGGCCAATTTGTTCACTTACCAACCGTTCCCCTGCGAACGACCGGCTGTTGTGGCTACGGTAAATATTAATTCATGCATTGATTAACCACGTTTTTATTTTAATGTTGTGTGCTTATAATGTTGTTAGTATCTTTATCTATTAATATCCATTGCTGAAATATGATAAGCGTACGTTTTTTGGGTGAAAAAAGGTGTAACTTTCGATGCTATCGGAACGAATGAAGCCTTTAACGTGCATTCCCTATACTCGCTTAACGACCAAATCATCCCCTATACTCGCTTAACGACCAAATCATCCCCTATACTCGCTTAACGACCAAATCATCCCCTAAACTCGCTTAACGACCAAATCATCCCCTATACTCGCTTGACGACCAAATCATTCCCTATACTCGCTTCACGACCAAATCATCCCCTATACTCGCTTAACGACCAAATCATCCCCTATACTCGCTTAACGACCAAATCATCCCCTATACTCGCTTAACGACCAAATCATCCCCTCTACTCGCTTAACGACCAACTCATCCCCTATACTCGCTTAACGACCCAATCGCTTAACGGCCGGTTTCGTGGAACCAATCGCCATCGTTACGAGGAGGGGGATTCCCTGTACTGGCGTTAATGAGTGAATGACTGACCGTGTGAATGGGTTCATTTCATTTGTTACAAGGACGGTCGCGTTTCACCACAGTTTCGCGGCTCTTTTACTGTGTTGTTGCTGCTTGAGCACTGCAGCAGTAGCAGCAGCAGCAGTAACAACAGAGAGAACACGAGACGGAGTCAAGTACGGAACAGTAGGGGGTACAGCTGGGGTGCATCTGACGGGCATCTCAGTCAGCCAACCCATGGCACCTGGGGTCTGCCCCGAGACCTCCTGCTGCCAGCAGCGAGCGTTCGGCACTTCACGTGATGGCCTCAAAGTGCACCTGGCCTGGCACAGGCGCCGTGGTGACGTTACCGTCACTTAGGGGTGAATGACGGCTGTGTTGGTGCAGCAGAGGGCCTTCAGGGATGTTGCACAACCAGCAGACGATGGAACGAGGTTATTTACCGGTCGTAAACAAGACACCCGAATTACACCCCCCCCTCCCCCTGAGTGCAAATACTAGTCGTAATTCTAGATTTGAAGCTTTCGTGACTGCAAGGATTCATACTCTTAGGTTTTTTCGGTAAAATCACCTAGGTAAAAAATAAATAATAAAAATAATAGAAATAAACGTTTATGAATTAAATTATTTTCCCCTATTATTTCTATTATTATTTATTATTACTTATTTTTACCTACGTGACTTTACCGAAAAAACCTAAGAGTACTAGTAGTAATTTACATTTATTTGTGAGAAGCATTCCACTAAGGTCTCAAGGCGCCTTGTAAGAATAAGGATATAGGCCAAGATAAAACAGAAACTAAAGAGAATAAACTGACTTATGAAGATGTTTAACGCCATATAGGCTTTCTTGACCAATGTTATCCGTAATAGAGTTTTTTTGGGTAATATCCCGAGATTATCTATGCCACGAAAACCTCTATTATGGTTAAGAAGATGTGGTATTAAGACGAGACTTGATGAAAGTATCCGCACTATCGGATGATCGAATTTCCAAGGGTAGGGAATCCCGCGACCGTGTCGCAGACGCAGCGAGTAGCCGCTCACCTCCAGGAACGGAGCCGGGATCGAGGCACGCACGGGAGAATAAAGGTCGGTACCAGGTGCAAGTGAATTGTGTTTTAAGTCTTAATAGGGACAATGGGGAGAATCAAACTGGAGATGAGCGGGTAACGGTTTGTCATGAACTCGGAGCAGCAATGCGTCAATACTTTTTTTTTACCAAGACAAAGTTTTAACAAATGGAATGTTATAATAATTGGTTTTTTACCCTTTAATCTGGCCTTTTGGCGTCATCTGGTCCAACCCATGTGAGACCAGGCTCTAAGGAAAGCTGTCTCGGTGTGGACCAATCAACTTCAAGGACAGTGCATACATTATCAGAGTTATGTTTTTTGTTTGCATTATAACTGCAGGTATTGTGGTCTATGCAAACATGACTCCTTGTAAAAAAGGTGTCAGTTTTGTTGCCAGATAGAAGGGTTAAAAACCATTATCATTTTTACTGGCAAATGAGGTTCTAATGGTGTAAATGGAATGTTTTAATAGGAATAAGGAGGCACTTCTGAAACTACGAAACGGAGTTGGAGAAACTAAGTGGTCCTTTCGGTAAATGGCGGACTTTAAGCCCAATGATGGTCTCGCCACATATCCAGATTCGAGTTGACCTGCAGGTGCAATGATGGGTTACAGAATTGGCCTCAAAGCCAAAACGGAGAGCGTAGTTGGTTCAGTGTAACGAGATGTTTCAAGCATGTTCAGCAGCAAGGGCGGTAGATGGTGCCGCTCACATAATGAGCGTGTGAGTTTGTGAAATGGAGTGACCGCGAGTGAATGAGTCGCGTACCCGCTCTTCGCTCTCCTCGCGCGTCCTCCTCCACGCGGCGCACGCGGCCGCCAGTGCAGGAGCAGTGCACACGCCACGCCCAGTGCCCCCAGCAGGGCGGGGGGGGGGGCCCCCGGGGATCCTCTCCACCTGCAGGGGCCCCCGCCTCCTCATCCTCCGCAGGGTCCCTCGTGCCCCCAGTTTCCTTCCCCGCACGCCCCCCAGCCTCCTTCTGCCAGGGCCCCCAATCCCGTCCTCCCTGTTGAGGCCCCAGTCTGCACCTCTCCGTGAGGGCCACTAGGGTCCCGGTCTCTCTCCAAGGGCCTCCAGTCTCTTCCTCCTCCACAGGGCTCCCAGTCTCCTCCCTCTCAGTTCTCTTTCTTCCTCCTCCACAGGCCCCCAGTCTCGTCCTCCCTCCCAGGGCCCACAGCCTCCTCCCTCTCATTCTCCTCTTCCTCCCTCCCAGGAACCCCATTCTCCATCCCTCGCCAGAAACCCATTTCCTCCCTCCCAGAAACCCCATTCTCCTCCCTCCCAGGAACACCATTCTCCTCCCTCCCTGGAACCCCATTCTCCTCCCTCCCAGAAACCCCATTTCTCCTCCCTCCCTGGACCCCATTCTCCTCCCTCCCAGGAACCCGTATTCTCCTCCTCCCTTGGCCTCGTCCCTCCTCTCCCGGGCCCTCCAGTCACTTCCTCCTCTACGGGCCCCAGCCTCCTCCTCCCTCCCAGAGGTCCTCGGTCCCCTCCCTCCCTGGGCCCTCGGTCCCCTCCCTCCCTGGGCCTCCTGCCTCCTCCCTCTCAGTCTCCTCCTCCCTCCTTGGGTCCACAGTCTCTCCCACTGGGCCCCCATTCTCTTCACCTCCCAGAGTCCTCGGTCTCCTCCCTCCCTGGGCCCCCAGCCTCCTCCCTCTCAGTCCTCCTCCTCCCTCCTTGGTCCACAGTGTCTCCCGCTGGGCCCCTATTCTCTTCGCTCCCAGGGCCCTCAGCGTCCTCCCTCTCAGAAACCCCAGTCTCCTCCTCCCCCCCCCTGGGCCCCCAGTCTCTCCCGCTGGGTCCACAGTTTCCTCCCTCTCAGGGCCCTCGGTCCCCTCCCCAGCCTCCTCCTCCCTTACGAGGTCCCCAGTCTCTTCCCTCCCTGAGCCGCCAGCCTCCTCCCTCCCTGGACCCCCAGTGTCTCTCACTGGGTCCAAAGTCTCCTCCATCTCAGGGCTCTCGGTCCCGTCCCTCCCAGGACCCTCAGCCTCTCCCACTGGGCCCCCAGTCTCCTCCATCTCATGGCTCTCGGTGCCCTCACTCCCAGGAACCGCCAGCCTCCTCCTCCCTCCCGATTTCTTCAACCCCACGTTCTCCAACCCTCCTGAACACACAGAGGAGACAACAATATTGGCCACTAGGTGGCGGCGATGTCACCAGAGCGCTTGCGCAAGACGAGGTGCTCTTTTGAGGTCACGTAAAGTGTTGTAGGCTCGCTGATCGGAGGTCACGGCACAGACGCAGGGCCATGAGCTGAATGAGATGACTGGCAGATGCACCACCTGTGCCCCTTCTGTGCCAACTTATTGCGTTTTAGCCGCGAAACGCTCCGCTCGTTATTGTGAGCGTCGCTCCTGCGCCCTCCGTTGTTGTTGGAGGGCGACTGCCTCCACCTGCCCAGTAGCAGCGTCCTTCACGAGCCTCCTTCCTTCACGAGCCTCCTTCACAGAGGTCGATCTTGACACCGCTGGTACGAGCCTTCGGCAAGCCAACTCAGGTCCACATCCTCGCTTACCGCATAAGTCCATCTCTTCTCTAGCCCGTTGCCGTGCCCGTTTAGCTTCCTCTATCTGGCCAAACAGAAACTGCATCGCCAGCTTTTTAAATCCTTTATATTAAGTTCGCTTGCTTGCGTGCTTGCGTGCTTGCTTGCTTACGACCGTGCAAACCTTTCGGTCGTTTTTTAACCCAATTCCCGTGATCCAATCGAGCTGACATTTTGCACACAGACTCGTTGTGCGAGACAATTAATGTTCGTGAAATTTTTTTCCAAAATTTTAGACTGTTTAGGGAAAACAAATTAAATATTTAATTACCAATTGTTTAATACTGCAGACAATCATCTGACCCATAGGTGGCAGCCATCTTAAGCCAGAGGACGAGAGGACTCTAGCCGCCACGCATAAAAGGATTTAGAGTGAAAAAACTTTGTTTTTACGGGTTATACTTATTTAAGGACATGTTTAACCAGTCCAGCCTGGTTAAACACGTCTTCTTTCTCACGGCTGATGTAGACAACTACCAGTTCCGGATTAAGCTAGTGCGGGCCTGTAGCATATGTCATAAAGGGGCCCTAATTTTTTTTTTTAAACACGTAAATATTAAAACACACATTTGTAACTTGCACAGTAAAGGAATTGCATTTTTTATTCGCTATACATCTAGATAGAACGACAAATCGCTAACCTTAAACACTGAGTCATTCATAAAAGTTTAAGGCAGTACTATAGTAATAGAGCGAGTGCAGAATCACTGAACCGGAATTGACAGCTTGAAAGCATTTAGCGCGGCGCCCTTGAAAGTGCGGGGCCCGTAGAATATGTAGCTACTTTTGCTACGAGGATAATCCGGCACTGACGACAACAATTGCACATTCAGGTGGTCAAGGCCAGATAACCGCGTCAGAAGCAGCGGCGTTGTATCGCTGTGATGTCTCCTTCGTATTTGTGGATGGGCATTGCGTTGCTATACGTTGCATATGGTCTGTTCTGGATGACCACAGTCGCACACCGAAGAGTTTTTTCATTTTTAATGTATGCATCAGGTATTCGAATCTGCCATGGTTTGTGGTTTAGGCTGGACTATGATTTCCTGGAAGATCAAACTCAGGGATTTTCCATGATGGATCGTAGGCAGGCCAGCCTGAATGTTTTGAAACCGGTGCAGATGTTCCATTCGATGGCTCCACGCTTCGCAAGCATAAAGAAGGGAGGGCATAACAGTGGCCGAAAAGACCAGGAGGTTTGTATGGAGCGACAGACCAAATATCTCCCACGCAGCAGCGCTACGCATCAAATGAAAAAAGAATTGCCACTCCAGTGAGCCTGGAGCGAGACCACGGCTACCAAGACGGAGCTGGTCACGAGCACACTGCCCCGGGGGGGGGGGGGGGGGGGCACGGAAACTCCTCAATTCTCTCCACAACTGCCCCATCACGCACGGGGAGTCGAAAGGGCTGGGGCATTCAACGACGCACACATACCGAGGCAGGTACCTCGACGTGAACACGGAGGTTGACGCACGAACAACGTGCATCGGAGTTGTGGAGTCAGGAAAGTGGGTGAGGGCTACGGGAGAGGGGTTAGGGGGGGGGGGGTTCAGGAGCAGCATGGGTCTGCCCTCTCCTCCCCTCCATCTGTCGAGGTAAATCCCCGCGTGTAATCTGCGCTAAAGCCGGTAACGGGAGTTGGCCTCCCTCTACACGGGTCTCTCCCATTTCCTCCCTCGGTTCATCTCGCATCTCGCATACCTCTATTATCTCCCCACTCTTCTCTATCCTACCCCCCCCCCCCCCCCGCTGACCCCCCCCCGGACCCCCCCCGAATGAAATCGTCGTGGCTGAGACCAGACTCACAAATCCACGGCTCACAATGGCCGCTCGCCACCCCCACCTCTCTCCCCGTGTGGATCAAGAAGAGAAGAACAAGGGCATTCATAGTCCAGCCCTGCCCCCAACCATCAACATCACCACCATCACCCACCATCATCGCCCACTCACCACCACTTCGCATTCCATCACCCACATCGCCACCACGATCACTACCACCCCCATACCACCGTCACCACAATCAGATACTACCTTCATCACCAACTACCACCACTATTATCAGCATTATCAGTACCACCACCATCAACAACAACAACCGCCGTTCACCACTAAGTGGCGGTGACGTCACCACGGCATTTGTGCCAAGCTAGGTGCACTTTCATCACTACCCCACCGTTACTACCCCGATCATCATCACTACCCCACCATCACTACCCCACCATCACTACCCCTATCATCATCACTACCCCCACCATCACTACCCCACCATTACTATACCCCTATCATCATTACCCCACCATCACTATACCCCTATCATCATCATCATCACTACCCCACCATCACTACCCCACCATCACTATACCCCTATCATCATCATCACTACCCCACCATCACTATACCACTATCATCATCATCATCAACTACCCCCCCATCACTATACCCCTCATCATACCCCACCATCACTATACACCCTATCAGCACTATCACTACCCCTATCTCATCACGACCCCACGTCACTACCCCGATCTCATCATCACTACCCCATCATCACTACCCCACCATCACTATACCCCTATCATTATCATCATCACTACCCCACTATCACTACCCCCACCATCACTATAACCCCTATTATCATCACCATCACTACCCACCTTCACTATACACCCTATCATCATCATCACTACCCCACATCACTACCCCACCATTACTATAAAACCCCTATCATCAGTCATCAGCACTACCCCACCATCACTACCCATATCATCATCACTACCCCACCATCACTATACCCCTATCATCATCATCACTACCCCCACCATCACTATAACCCTATCATCATCAATACATCACTACCCACCATCACTGCCCCTATCATCATCATCACTACCCCCATCACTACCCCACCATCATTATACCCCTATCATCATCATCACTACCCCACCATCACTACCCCTATCATCATCATCACTACCCCACCATCACTACCCCACCATTACTATACCCCCATCATCATCATCATCACTACCCCACCATCACTACCCCACCATCACTACCCCACCATCACTTTACCCCTATCATCATCATCACTACCCACCATCACTACCCCACCATTACTATACCCCGATTATCATCATCACTACCCCACCATCACTACCCCACCATCACTATACCCCTATCATCACCATCACTACCCCTATCACCATCACTACCCCACCATCACTATACCCCTATCATCATCACCATCACTACCCCTATCATCATCATCATCACTACCCCATCATCACTACCCCACCATCACTACCCCACCATTACTATACCCCGATCATCATCATCACCACTACCCCATCATCCACTATACCCCTATCAT